TGAAACAGGGCTTCCCTCCCTCGCTTATAATCGAATCACAGCTGCTGTCGGCCGCGATGTAACTCAAGGTCAGAGTCTGCAGAGCGAGAGCGGCGTTACGTCATCAATCTGCAACGCTTCTGCAGCTACAACATGCACTAAGACACAGTAAGAGGCAACAGGGACACATCTCCATCTCTGCAGGATCATAACACATCCAATAAATCAGATAAGAGAATGAGATGTCATAATGCAAAGAAGCAATTTGTCCATTGCCTTGTTCACGTTTTGAAGGACGTGGGGAAAGACACAATAAGAAACAACAGGAACATATTGGAATCTCTGCAAATAATATTACAGATCTTTGTTTGTGGAGCACTTCTGAGTTACAAGGTGCTTCACGGAGACATTTAAGACGTCTTAAAATCAGCAATGGACAAATATTTAGATCGATTTTTTGTAAAAGTAGCAATACAGCAAGGGAGAAATACTCCTTTTCAAGTACAAGTTATGTTACATAATCAATCTGCAACCCTTCTGCAGCTACAATATGCAAACAAAGACACAGTAAGAGGCAACAGGGACACATCTCCATCTCTGCAGGATGATAATGAATCCAATAAATCAGATAAGAGAATGAACTGTCATAATGCAAAGAAGCAATTTATCCATTGCCTTGTTCACGTTTTGAAGGACGTGGGGAAAGACACGATAAGAAACAACAGGAACATATTTGAATCTCTGCAAATAATATTACAGATCTTTGTTTATGGAGCACTTCTGAGTTACAAAGAGCTTCACAGAGACATTTAAGACGTCTTAAAATCCACGATTGACAAGTATTTAGATAGTTTTTAGTAAAAGTAGCAAAACAGCAAGGGAGAAATACTCTTCAAGTACAAGTTATGTTAGATATGCAATCTGCTGCAACCTGCACAGAGAACCAACAGGAACACATGTTAATGTCTGCAGGATGATATTACAAATCTTTATTTAAGGAGGACTGTTCAATATCCGAACAATCAAAAAGGAATACAAATACTTAATCTGTCAGAAGCCAGAAAGGTTGGAAATGACACGTTTGGTCTTTCAAGATGTGCTGCATTTTAAAAGCTGTATGAATAGTTATATTATCCATTAAAGAAAGCTGATTAAATTCAGGAAAGGCTCCCAGAAAAGGACCGATATCACATATTCATTGGTTTCTAGACTACAGAGGTTGTGCTTCAATTCATTATATCATAAAGGTATTTCTTTAAAGTGCAGACGTTTGTTTTCAAAATGTTAAACAAGCTATAAACAAAGTACGGACATTTCATCAAACTAAAAAGTGAATCTGTGAGTGTCCATCACTTTTTGATAAGAACGTGAGGAGATTTAAAGCTTAATTGTTCATAGGATTCATTGATAAATTATGATCTATTTGAATACTAATGAATCATTCACGTCACTTCCCAAGCAACACCCTGTGTATTACTGAGCTCCAGCTTCTCAACTGTGATGATTTGCAGCCATTTTATTTTACATTGTGTGTCTTTTTTAATGTCTGAAGTCATAGGCCCTCCCTCCGTGGAGTCTGACCCAGATTCGATGCTGTTTTGTGTTAAAAACTGAGCGCAGAGAAGAGGAGATTCAGTCTCAGCGGCGCGTGACATCGGTTGGCTCTTTATTTGGCCCCGAAATTTAAATCTGAAACCCAGAGAAGCCTAAAAATAACGCGAGGCAGTCGGCTGTTTCTCACCGGTCAGAGGAAGCTGTTTCATCTGACAATCAGGAACAATCAAACACTCAAAGGTCACAGAAAAGAGAAGAAAACTATAAATCAATTAGCAGTCGACAGGAAGAGAAATCATGTCCGATGTCCCGTCTCCATCAGGGCTGCACGATTTGAGTCATAATCATTGAAACACTAAATAAATGATAACGGTGTGATTCGTTTTTTAAGAGGATCTCTCCCAAGCTATATTTTTGTATTAAAGGAGTCCTTTTATCTTCATGTTCAGGTTCATATTAGCATGTAGTGTCTCTACGGGGACATGTCTCCTTGCTTTAATGTTCTGGTTTCATAAAGACTAATATTATTGTTTATTTTTTTCATCTTCATTCTAACAAACGTTCTCCATTATTTTTTAAATGTCTCCTCTTCCTGTCCCGTCTTCACGTCCTGATGATTTGTCTTCATTTTTCTTTCATGCATTTCATATTGCACATAGGGATGTCCCGATCACCTTTTTTTGCTCCCGATCCGATTCCGATCATTTGATTTTGACAATCTGCCGATACCGATTTTTCCCGATCCGATCTTTATGCAATGCATTAAGAGAAAAAAAAGGTAACATCCAACGCGATGAATTCAGGCTATCTTGGCTGTTATTTTTTTGGCCTTTTCACTGTTCTGGGGCAGTTTCTCTTTCCTTTTAAAAGTCTCTGAAAGTGTCGGTTGTTTCAGTGCCGTTACCTGAGTGGCCGCTGTGTACTCCTCGTGTTGTTGTTGGTGTTTATATTAGATTGGTCGTGTTGAACGTAGCTCTGTTCTTTCCACCACGCGGAACCTCCGCCTTGCAAACATTGCATCTGGCTGTTACACTGCCTTCGCTTTCAATTTTATAATACTTCCAAACTCCTGACATTTTCTCTGTCCCGACTCCCGAGTCACCAGCTGAACGTAGCCTCTTGTTAGCTTACTGCTACTATTAGACACTGCGCCCACTCTGTTGCCAGATTTGAGAGAAATAAGCAACCAGGTCTCATGAAAACAAGCCAAAAGAAGCAACACATACATGATGTTGTGTAATTTTAAACCAAAACTAAGGCCTCAGGATGACTTTTAAGACGTGAACATGGTCATTTTTGTTTTGTAACATTAAATAAAATAATAAAAATATTTTCTTAAAAAAAAAAAAAAATCCCGATCCCTGATTTTTTTCTCCCGATTCCGATCTTTTGAAAATCACGTGATCGGCTCCGATCCCCGATCACGGGATCGGATCGGGACATCTCTAATTGCAGATGCTTTTTTTCTCATTATAACAGTCATTTAAATCTACAATCTGAAATCCTCACATCAGTTATTGGCAAGTTGGATCCAGAAGTATCAACAAAGCAGTAAACGAGACGATTTGCATGAGAAAAGTCCAAATATGATTTCTTCTTTGTAGTTCCAGCGTGGTTGTTTCCCACACATACAACTCTTGTGCAAACAGCTTGTAATCCCAATTGATACCTCTGGCCCTCTCACTTAAGGGAATAAGCTCTTTAAGATGACTTGTATTAAGTGCACATTGTTAAAGCGTTGTGTGTTGTAAAGTCTCAGTTTAACTCGGTGAACAGTTTTTAATGTCGTGATGTTTTCTGTTCCTGCAGGCAGTTATCCAACATGGGAGGACTTTGTAAGCAAAGGAGCCGAAGCTACAGTCCACAGCTCAGGTACACACACACACACACACACACACACACTACACACACCACACACACACCACACACCCACACACACACGGATTATATCCCGGTTCCATGTAACCAGATATATTTTCTACTAAAAGTTACTTATGATTATCCGCAGGGAAGCATTTTCCTCTGACCATTGACCTGTCACATTTTAAACTAAATTAATGTATCTGCCGGTTTTATCCACAGCTACTTACAATAAATGCTAATCCCTTAAAATTGCCGTGTTACTTCATAAACCATGTTTTTAATCACCCGTTTAATATGTATTCCTATGACATATACAGTATGTGTTTTCGGTCGTGACGTTTAATAACCTCCATGTCGTTTTTACTGCCATATGTCGTATGATTAGAAAGGTAAGGTTGATAGATAGATTGATGGAGGGATGGCACACACACACACACACACACTACACACACACACACACCACACACTCACACAAACACACAGCGCTGGCTCAGTATAATAATAGTATAATGGCTGTATTTCCCAGTAGACCAGTTTACTCTGATTAGCATCTCTCTGCTGCTGCAGCCAGTCGCAGTCTATTAGCACTGCCAGTCACACGCACACACACACGCACACACACACACGCACACACACACAGGCACAGGCACAGACACACGCACAGACACACGCACGCACACACACACACAGGCAAAAAATAGGACATCCTCACTGTTCAAAATGCTCTAATGTTTAATGCCTCTCAGAAGAGCTAAAGTGGGTTATATTTCACTCATAACACTTTAATACTCCCTCTAATGACAATAAAATCTAAAGTGATTCATAACAAATGTAATGAATAATTATATTTTGTGCTTCCATGCAGTTAAACTCAGCACCGGGGTCATAAAGCATGATTTTCTTTAGTAACAAACCTCTCTCACCTTTCTCGTCAAAAAGCTGCAGTTGCTTCAAGTAGGACAGGACTTCAGACTACCAATCTTTAAGGAATATTTACACAATGATATTGATAATTATATCCACTTCACTGGTAAGATATACAAAATATACTTTAGTCCTGCAGAAAGGAACACCAAGTGACATTAATGAAGAATAAAATGATGAAATTATGAAATAACAGTAAAGATATATATATATATATTAAATAAGTAAGTAAAACAGTGGGAAATAGTAGTCAGACTAGTTTACATATTATTGTGTGTGAGAGTTTGTAAAGTCTTTGGTATTATGAAAGAGAATTTCCACTGAGGTCAGACACACACACACACACACACACACACACACACACACACACACACACACACACACACACACACACACACTATTGACAGGAGTGTCATCTGATCTTCTTAGTTAGGTTTTCAGGGGTAATGACTGTGTGTGCAGCTATAGAAACAGACCTACACACACACACACACACACACACACACACACACACACACACACACACACACACATATACACACACACACACAATAGGTCCATTGAGGAAGATGATGTGTGTGTCAGAAGGTCTCCAGTTGCACTCCTGGCCTCTCATGTGGCTCCCATCAATCCTGCTTTTCAAAATAACAGTCCTTTATGTTTATTTTGTTGTGTTTGTTTCAGGACGACTATCGTGGTGACCGGAGCTTTCTGGACGCCTTTTCAGAAGGTGGCAGACATGGCGATGGGGACTAGAGGTAAACACACACTCAAAAAAATATTCATCATGGCGTGCCCCAGGGATCTATTTAAGGCCCACTGTTGTTTATGTTGTATATCAATGACTTTGTAAAAAGATCTTGATAAACTGAGATGGACACATGGCAAAAATGCAATAAATCATCTTAAATATAAAGATCGTTCGCTCTAATAGAAATTGTTTGCATCTTAATTACACATATAAAAATGTAACGGTGCGATACCAGACTCCCACAGCAGAGTGTGTTTCTCGGCTGAAATGCCAACCACACTGTGGTGTGTGTGTGTGTGTGTGTGTGTGTGGGTGTGTGTGTGTTGTGTGTGTGTGTGTGTGTGTGTGTGTGTGTGTGTGTGTGTGTGTGTGTGTGTTGTGTGTGTGTGTGTGTGGTGTGTGTGTGTGTGTGTGTTGATGTGTGTGTGTGTGTGTGTGTGTGTGTGTGTGTGTGTGTGTGTGTGTGTGTGTGTGGTGTGTGTGTGTGTGTTGTGTGATGTGTGTGTGTGGTTGTGTGTGTGTGTGTGTGTGTGTGTGGTGTGTTGTGTGTGTTGTGTGTGTGTGGTGTGTGTGTGTGTGTGTGTGTGTGTGTGTGTGTGTGTGTCCTGCACCCCCATTGCATTGGTGGTGTGGCTGTTCTCCCATGCCCACTATTTAACTTCACCTCTGACTCATTGATTCCCCGACACACACCTGATCGATCACTTTGCCCCTAAATAGAAAGTGTGAGGCGTCCGTCTGTCCCTCTGCTGATGTCAGATCTTGTGTGTGTGTGTTCTCTGTGAAAACAAACCAAAGGAAATGCGGTCCCTCTTTATCCGTCTGTTCATTTATTATAAATAGTGAGATCATGAGAGAACTCATTATCTCCATAAACTCTCTGTGCAGCAGGCTTTGTGTGTGTGTGTGTGTGTGTGTGTGTGTGAGGATATAATGTAGAAACCATTCAGGATTGTGCTACTGAATGATGAAATGGGCCAGGAAAATTGCACGGCCATTTTTTGTTACATCTGTCTTCTTCTGTTCTTCCCCTGGTATCTGTTTTTCTGCTTTCATGCCAAGTTGCTTTAGATTTTTTTGGGTCATTTTTTTCTGCTTTGATCTTCTTCTCTTTTGGTCTTCCTCTCTCTTGTGTCTCTCTCTGAAGGGACACAGTGAGACCTCATGTGCAGCTGCCTGGTTTTATGTTACTCACAAACACACTTCATAGTGTAGTGCCGTCTCCCTTCTTCAATGCTAAAGAAGATCTCCAACATTGTGGCTTTTGTTTGTTTTTTGTTGATCAGAATTAGTTACGACGTGTAGTTTCACCTCATCACTTTGATAAATATAGAGGTATTCGTACACCCATATGTGACAGAAATAAAACGTAATACATGGACATTAAAGGGGCCCTATCATGCTCATTTGCAGGTGTATATCAGTATGTAGTGTCTCTACTTTAAAGAGTCCTCTCCTGCTGATGTTCAGGTGTATATCAGTATGTAGTGTCTCTACTTTAAAGAGTCCTCTCCTGCTGATGTTCAGGTGTATATCAGTATGTAGTGTCTCTACTTTAAAGAGTCCTCTCCTGCTGATGTTCAGGTTGTATATCAGTATGCAGTGTCTCTACTTTAAGAGTCCTCTCCTGCTGATGTTCAGGTGTATATCAGTATGTAGTGTCTCTACTTTAAAGAGTCCTCTCCTGCTGATGTTCAGGTGTATATCAGTATGTAGTGTCTCTACTTTAAAGAGTCCTCTCCTGCTGATGTTCAGGTGTATATCAGTATGTAGTGTCTCTACTTTAAACGAGTCCTCTCCTGCTGATGTCCAGGTGTATATCAGTATGTAGAGTCTCTACTTTAAAGAGTCCTCTCCTGCTGATGTTCAGGTGTATATCAGTATGTAGTGGTCTCTACTTTAAAGAGTCCTCTCCTGCTGATGTTCAGGTGTATATCAGTATGTAGGACCTCTACTTTAAAGAGTCCTCTCCTGCTGATGTTCAGGTGTATATCAGTATGTAGTGTCTCTACTTTAAAGAGTCCTCTCCTGCTGATGTTCAGGTGTATATCAGTATGTAGAGTCTCTACTTTAAAGAGTCCTCTCCTGCTGATGTTCAGGTGTATATCAGTATGTAGTGTCTCTACTTTAAAGAGTCCTCTCCTGCTGATGTTCAGGTGTATATCAGTATGTAGGATCTCTACTTTAAAGAGTCCTCTCCTGCTGATGTTCAGGTGTATATCAGTATGTAGTGTCTCTACTTTAAAGAGTCCTCTCCTGCTGATGTTCAGGTGTATATCAGTATGTAGTGTCTCTACTACACATCTCCTTCCATAGCAAATCCTGGCATCTACATTTCCCATAATGCAATTGGGCAGCCAACATTTGAGTTTGCATTAACAGCTTATCTAACCTTGAGCTGCAGCTAGCCTCAAGAAGAGATGAGTGTGTTACAGACATCTGGTAACTTGTTTCTAACTCTTCTCTTCACGCAGCTTCCCCTGGGGCTTTACATAATTTACATATACAGAAGTAGCCCCAGAAAATAGACGTTTTATGTGTAATAATAACTGTGAAAGTCCCCTTTAATCAGTCATCCGCTATAACAAACCTTTCCTCTTCTGTAAAGGCCTTCTTTTCCATTGTTGGTATTGGCAATGTATTGATAATCGTGACATTTATTCCTCACATCTCCTCATGCCTATGTGGAGCATTTCCTGCAAACATTAGAACATTTAGTCTCCTGTGAATAATGAGTCAGTTTGAGGCTCTATGAAACACACTGCAGACGTTATAAATACCCGGAGATCAGGCAGTGTGTTCAGAGCTGCAGGGCCTCTGTGCTTTGTGAAAGACAGTCAGCTGCCAGTGTGATTATGTAACAGTCAGTTGGTATTTAAAGGAAATCCAGTAATGTGTGTGTGGGAGGTGAATCATAGCCGCTCCCCTCTAAGGAAGCTTCTTCAGACCTGCTCCGTCATGTTTTATTTCATTTGCCTATCGTAAAAATCCAGGTGAAACTGAAATAGTTCTGATTAATGCCGCTTGGCTTTTTGTTTTGCCGTTCCTAGAATATAAAACCCACACACTGCGGATAAATACCAGCACAGTGCTTTAAACACAGAGGTTAAAGTGAAATAAGCAGCTTCAAGCGGATCACACTGTGCAGCACATGGCGTCACCTGGAGCTTCAGTAAAGCTTTCACCATCAGAAGGTATCATCGTGCTCGTCACAAGATGTACAGTAATGATGTATTTTTGTAGGCCGACACATAAGTGAGCATCTCCCTAGTTCAAAGGGATTTCTCCATGTGATATTTCGGATTATTGCAGAAAAAATCTCTGTCAAACAACGTTTATGATACTTGCATGTTTACAGCAGGATAATCTCCACATATCAACACCACTTTATGGTTTCTGAAGTAAAAAGCTAATGTTGGGCTATAAAGAACTACAGCACGGTCACATGACTTCACCTCACCACCGCTAAGCTAAAGGTGGCTAATGTTGGGCTATAAAGGAACTACAGCACGGTCACATGACTTCACGTCACCACCGCTAAGCTAAAGGCGGCTAATGTTGGGCTATAAAGGAACTACAGCACGGTCACATGACTTCACGTCACCACCGCTAAGCTAAAGGTGGCTAATGTTGGGCTATAAAGGAACTACAGCACGGTCACATGACTTCACGTCACCACCGCTAAGCTAAAGGCGGCTAATGTTGGGCTATAAAGGAACTACAGCACGGTCACATGACTTCACCTCACCACCACTAAGCTAAAGGCGGCTAATGTTGGGCTATAAAGGAACTACAGCACGGTCACATGACTTCACGTCACCACCGCTAAGCTAAAGGAGGCTAATGTTGGGCTATAAAGGAACTACAGCACGGTCACATGACTTCACATCACCACCACTAAGCTAAAGGCGGCTAATGTTGGGCTATAAAGTAACTACAGCACGGTCACATGACTTCACGTCACCACCGCTAAGCTAAAGGTGGCTAATGTTCGGCGTGATGACGTTTAGTAGTCTCATTTAGACCCTTATTGTTGGGTATCACCCTGCTTGTTCTTGGCCTGGTTTAGCCCCATTTAGCACCTTCTCTAGTTTAACCTGGACACACAGTGTTGCCATCTGTTAGCAGTTAGCTCAGGGTAAAGCTAACACGACTTGTTGACTGAGCACATTCCACTGATCAGTGTGTGTGTGTTTGTAGCTGTATGGTGTGTTTTAACAGCTGTCCCCTTCTTTATCTATGGAAACATATTTCAAGACAAAAGATTTAAGAAAGTTCAAAACAAGTGTGTGTGTGTGTCCTGCAGCCTGCAAGTCAACATTTTGAGAGCGTGCGATGCCAGTCATGTGATCGCTTGTTTCTGAGTCAGCTCTCTGAAATGTGTTTCTCCATTAAGATCACATGCAAATTATTTGTTTTGATTGGCAAGCTGCAACAGGTCATCAGGTTCATGCCTCTTCTGCCCATTTGACTATGTTATGCCTTTCATGCTTTATAGTCTTTACCTCAATTTGCATTATTATGATTGTCTGGAAATGCAGTTTAGATTGAAGTTCAGACGGTTATTAAAAAGACACAGTGCCGTCTCAGTGTTATAGCATGATGAAGACATGTTGAGGCTTCAAGAGTGCAATTTTATGAATTAAAATTAAAATGCAATGACATCGAGTCATTAGAGTTAGAAAATAGAATCACACTAGAAATTATAAGCTAAACAAAAGCTAACAAAGCCACTAGATTTACAGCGAGTGACTCTTTTGAAAGGACTCAACAAATAACACTTCCATAATTGCCTTAACCATATGCCAATAAATGAAATATAATCCTATTAATTATGGGTTGACGCATTTTGATTTTTACTGAATACAGACACCAGATAATACTCTGTCTCAATCTGATGTTTAAAGAAAGCCACTGGCCAGCTCTTATTCTAAAAGTCGAAGAAAGAGGTCAAACAGGACCACCCTTTCACTTCAAATACATATTGAAACACACACACACACACAC